CGAAATGTGTAAAATCGTTTTCTCTACAACATGCGATCATAATAAAGTTGAAAAAGCAGTGAGTCAAATGCAGTGGAAAAGCGGGCCCGCTCCTTTCAGAATATTCATAACTAACTGTTCTCTACAACATATTAAAAATCCAGCCAATTTTAGATCTTACTCCATCGTCTATGTCCGAAAACCTCTGATTTTCTCAGCAACCCACTCTTAAGTAGACTAAATAAATAGCTCATAAGGACATATTTACGGACGTACGCTGTCAAGACTTTTAAATGTGAAATACAAATTATGTTGGTTTTTTACGGAAAATACTAGAGATAAAATGAAGCACGCTCGAATTGTTCCTATTTTCCCACTATTTGACTTTCGGTTCCAAACGAAAATCAGCGTTATCAATCAAACAGGCTCTTGCTTTGTATCCAAAAAATATATGAATTCTAAAATCACGTTGTTCAACGTCGAGCACTCCTGTTACTTCGGCGTATTCCCATCGTATTTCGTCGGCGGAGGCATTGATATCTAAAAGAGGATAAAAGGAGAAGAGGACAGTTATCTATGGGAAACAATCGCTACAACTCAATTATATTCTTACATGGATTTTTCAGGAAAGCCGATTCAAATATAGGATTGAAAACTAGGGCTTGTTCTTCCTGGCATACGCCACCAGTACCACCAAAATATGCTGACAATGTATATTTCACTTCACCGGTGTTTATCAGTAAAGAATAGTCAGTCAAATTAATTCTTTGTTCCAATTTGTACCCATCGTCCCTCGTCTGTCCAAAGGCACATTCACCCATACTGACACTAGCATTTGTATATTGAGTCGCTGTTTCATCGAGAGGCCGTATAACCGGTTTGCCGGTATATTTTTTCCATCCGGTAACTGTTCCATCAAATGACCAGCACTAAAGTAGAAGTTTACCTGATTACCTCAACATAAATTCTAAAAATTCAGCAATAGAAAAAGCTTTTTGCTCAATCTTTCAAACAAAAGGTGTGCCGCTCCGCTCTTGTATTTAACTTTCACAGTGTGCAACAACGCAGATATTTGGAGAAAAAACAAAAGCGAGGTTTTTTTAGAGATCCAAATACCCATGTAAAAAGTGTTGACACAAAATTAGAGTAAAATCGATTCGAGTGCGATTTAAAATCGATTTAAATGGTACGCTTTAAATATGATTTAAATCGACTTTTTCAGCTGGAAAAATCGATTTTCCTGATTTCTCTGATTTTTTTCAAATCGATTTTATTCGATTTAATTTTATTAATAGATTTTTACCGATTAATTATTTAAAACGATTAAAATTGATTTGAAAAAAATCAGAGAAATCAGGAAAATCGATTTTTCCAGCTGAAAAAGTCGATTTAAATCATATTTAAAGCGTACCATTTAAATCGATTTTAATCTGATTTGATGTTAAAATTTGTTACATGGGTAGTATCTAAAATACACCACCAACGACCACTTCAATGGTAAACAACATTTGATTCAAATGCTTGTCACTGAGAAAATTGAGTCGCAAAATTCGGTTTGGGCCACTGTTTGAGCCACTTTCAGAAAAGTCACTTCGTTTCGTCAGATAAGGATACAGTGAAAAAAATGTAACATGTCTATTCTGAAAGCTGGACTTCCTAGTTGCGGATAAGAAAGTTTCGACTTTGAGTTCTTCCTGTGCGAGAAAAATAATCATTCTTTCTCGGCTATGTTTTTCCAAAAAACCAGGGCTCAGAAAAAATTAGTGGGCGTAGTTTATCGCAGACCGGTCTTGATGAGCTTTCAGGAAATTTTCCTCCATGATACGCCTACACAGATTACGGAAATAGCAGAAATGTTATCTTGTGAAGTCACAACACAACCCGAGTTTGAGAAATTTTTCCGGACCTTCTCTGTTTCAAAGCGATTTTTCTCAAAAGTAACGATAAATTAGGATGGCGTGAAAAACTTCATCTAACGATATGCCTTCCGACTATTTTTGGCGAAAACTTGATAAATTTCTCTCATTATGGCCGTTTTCCTAGTTTGCCTAAATCGTCAAGCTGATGTTTTTTCACAGCAACTTCAAGCGTCAGAAAACTATCAAAACTAGTTGCTATAGATTTTCGTGGTGAGTCTAATGGCATAGTTTAAAAATTTTGAGTGGTTTTTGGAAAGGTTTTGTAGAGATCGGATCTCTAGAAAACCCTTCAAAACCTAGCTTGGTGATTTTCTCGACGCCATTAGAAAGAGCACATGACAAAATCTATACAATGAATTGGTTTAAAACGAGACGTGTCTAGCGAAAATGGATCACTGTGTCCAAGTTTCTAACTTACATCGCTTTCCGCATTGCCATTTATTAATATCTCGTTGATAAACTGCCAAGTGCCATTCGGAAGAACAACGTTTGAAAGCTCCTGAATACCTGAATCCATCAAATTCAAAGATGTGGAACCCGTTAAGTTCGAATTTATATACGCAACTGCCTCCAGATCTGCATCAAACCAATCAGAATGGACAAGTTCTGTTTTTGAAGTGAATTCCACCCAGGATAAATGTGCTCCGGTAAAATTTGAATAAGATAAATTAACATTCTGAAACATAACACCGCATAACTCATTGTTTCTGAAATTCGCATAGTCGAGTGAGACACGGTCAAAAATAAAAGTACGCTCATCGTCAGCTATACATCCAAAATCCACATTAGAATCCCAACCAGGGATACTGACATCTTCCGGTATCGATCTAAAAATCGAACCCTGAAAGTTAATGTGTGACATTGCCGATTCAGTAAAAATAACCCCATTAACAAATCGACAGTTCATAAATGATGCATTCACAAGATTAACAGATTTTAACACTAATCCATCAAAATGATAGGGTCCCGTAATTGGACTTTTAATCGTAATACCATGCAAATCAGCATCAGTCAGAGAGATAGTTGTATTAGGCGAATTTTTATTTGGTAACAAGTTATTCTCATGTAGAAAAATGAACAAGTGACTTTTGCGTTCGCTATCGATTTCTCTCAAAGTTAACAGAGTTTTTCGACGAATGTATGACATCTTATTTTCTTCGCTAGCAAATATCGTTTGATTCATTGGCTGTTTATAGAGAACATTTGAAATGTCTTCAATATAGTTGCCATAGATATTTTGATAATGCAAATCAATGGCTTGACGTTGATCTTCTAAGCGTTGTTCATAGGCTAATATCTGTTCCTGTAGACGTGTGTCATTTGCAATTTTTAAATCTTGTGCACGTGTCAAATTTGCCAATATTGCATCTTCCTGTCGATGGCGTTCCGAGATTTCCTTCTGTTGGATATAGGTGACAACAGTGAAAATTCCTATCATTAAAGGCACAGACGCTGAGAGAATTAATTTTGTCCACTTTTGGTAGTGGTCACTATGCTGGATGGTGTTAGTATGCTGTACCGCCGTTGGTACTGTAAATGGAAGGACCGCTTCTGCTGTTTGACGCCGTCGGCGGCGTCTTGAATTTCGTCGAAATAGATAGGGTGTAGGCATAAGTAAAATCGGACGAATAACAAAGTTTCACGTGATTACTTGACGTGTAGAATAAAAATGGTGTTGAATACGATATATCTCAAAACAATAACTGTATTAACTGTACTGTACTGTACTGTATGTAACTGTAAAATTTTTCGCGTTACAGCTCAATTTTGAATGATATTCAGAGTTTTATTAAAAGAGATGTGATGGTATTTGCTCTTCTACTTCTCATAGAATTTCTAGAATTTATGCTAAGGTAATCAGGTAAACTTCTACTTTAGTGCTGGTCATTTGATGGAACAGTTACCGGATGGAAAAAATATACCGGCAAACCGGTTATACGGCCTCTCGATGAAACAGCGACTCAATATACAAATGCTAGTGTCAGTATGGGTGAATGTGCCTTTGGACAGACGAGGGACGATGGGTACAAATTGGAACAAAGAATTAATTTGACTGACTATTCTTTACTGATAAACACCGGTGAAGTGAAATATACATTGTCAGCATATTTTGGTGGTACTGGTGGTGTATGCCGAGAAGAACAAATTGTATTGATTTGACCGAAGTAAAAATATCGAAAGAAGAAACGCCGAAAAAAAGATGTCAAACGGAAAAATGCCGGTTATACGAAAATGTGGAAAAAAAAATGCCGAAAGAGAAATATCGAAATCTCTTTAAGAGAATATCGAAAAGTCTTTACGTCGAAACAGGAAATGTTGATCGCATAAAAACGTCGAAAATATTTATAAGAGAATGTGTGTTAGCCGTTCTCTCTTCTATATAAATGTATAAATGACAGCGGCTTCAAATAGTGTTCTTTTTATTTGACGTTTAGATGACTAGATCATGATTATCAAGACAAAAATGTGACAACTAAATGTGTCCAAGCGCGCATGCGTTTAAGAGAAAAAGAAAAATTGTTGAGAGAGAGAGAAAATACATCGAGATTCAGATATATGTTTTCCTATAATAAAGGGAGAAGAAAAAAGAAATATCTGGATCTCGATGTGTTTTCTCTCTCTCTCAATAATTTTTCTTTTTCTCTTAAATGCGCGCGTGCTTGTACACATTTAGTTGTTGCACTTTTATCGAACTTTGGTTTCAGATGTTGAGAGTTGTGCCTGTTCCTTTCATACCTCTCATCAGTAACGATGTTGAGATATTGTTGGTGATTTGTTCTAGATCATCGATGTCACCTGATGCATGCGGTCTGACTTTTCTTATCTCGAACAAACATAAGCCCCTCTTGTTGACTGATAACTTTATATACAAAATGAACAAAGAAACATTATCTAAAAAATATTGGGTGTGTCAAAGCAATGGATGCAAAGTCTCTGTACACACCGATATTCAGAGCATTTTTTTAAAAACTATTGGAGATCACAGTTATCTATGTGATCCAGAAGATCTTGAAATAAAAATGTGAAACAACGTGTTATACTCGAAAGACACCAATAATGAAAATATACGAAGAAGAGGTTGTTAAATCTCAACTTTCAACACAGGCTCTAGCAACTATACCAGTGGCACGTGAAATTCGAAAGTTCAACTACTTGGTCTTACAGACAATTTTCAAGAGCATACTTTCTGCTGCAGGAGGTGCTTACTTCCAATTCCGTAATCAACGTCGAATAATTCATCATCGATCTGTCTTGGATTTTTGAATAAGTAATCTGGTAGACAATTCTCTCGACCTTTTATATGTATCACTTGTTCAATGTTATATTCTTCCATCAGGGTAGCTGTTCGATCAACTCTTGAATTTTTAACGTTCTTTTGCATTAAGTTACAAAGAACGCAACGATCCGTCATTATTATAATACTTCGGCCTAGTAGAAAAGATCTCATTCGTGTTATAAATTAATAAATCGTTTATTTAGTATTTGTGTAAAAGCGGTTATTGCTGAGAAATACATTTTGCGTACCACGACAAATTTAAAACATCTACCACGAATATTGAAAACACCGACTTTTTATTTATTTTTTTCAGACACTTTTTTGAAAAATTTAGAGCGCATTAGGGGAATGATTCCAAAGGCTAAAAATTTGAACTTCTAAGTAACTTTGGATGGAGATTCCAAAAACTGATACGCGAAAAGAGAAATCTTTTTTTGACTCTTATTAAGGCCTATTTTGGTACCCTTGTGAATTAAAATTCTTCCATTTACTGTCATATTTCACTGCCACATTGACTGAATCAGTAACTGCCATTTTCTTTGTTACATCATTTTCTAATTTCAAAAACACATCATTTAATACTTCAAATGTGAAAGCTCCGTGTTCACAAACAACGCAGTCCATGTTAACGGGATTATGCAGAATAATGATAATTTGTATTAATTGTTTTGGTTCTATGGCACGAAAATATGGTGGTTTATCATTTTTCTCTTTTTATCGAACTTGGTAAATCTTCAACGGCTATATCGATATTGTTTACTTGGTAAATGTCCCATAAATATTTGTTTTTATTATCTCGCTCTGCTAATTTCTTAATCTTTTGATATAACTGCCCCAATGTTTTTTATAATCAATAGAATATTCTGCAATATTTTTGAGTAAAATTTAGAAATTCATAATAACTCAGCCAAGATCAATCCAAGTTATGTCAGAATGTCAAGATGTACTCTACTTTACCTACTTCAAATGATTTTTTACTTAAGAATAGTAAAAAACATCCTTGAACTTCTGAAGATTTCAAAAATCAGAGTATTTTCTATCGATTTTTAAAGCTTCTATTAAACCGCATAGTATTGAGCAGGTAAATTAGAGTACATCTTGATATTTTGACATAAATTGGATTGATCTTGCCTGAGTTATTATGAATTTTTGAATTTTACTCAAAAATAGGCAAAAATGGGATATTTCACCTAATGTACGTTTCACTAGGATTTTCAAACTGTTTTGAAAAACAGATGTTGTCATGAGATTCAGCATAGTCGGTAACCTATGCTTTCATTCATTTGTGACAGTTGCAAACCTAACGGTAGAGGGGGCCTAAGGCTTCAAGGAAAACGCCTGTAGCTCCCGAACCATGACTTTTCGAGATATCGCTTGAATCTGATTTTGTAGAGAACACATTGGACTATTCATGTACGAAAAAAAACTAATAGATTTCTATGTAAAACATTGGAGTTTTAAACTGGTTTTCCAGAGATCCGCTTTACAAATCCTCTAGAAATGAACGTAAAAATTTTGATTTCTTTTTTTCTGATTTTTTTTCTATTTAGAAAAAATGCACGCAAGTCTTCTCTTTCCAATGGTGAAGACTCGAATTCTCCAGCTCTTTCTATTCTCGACTTATTCTAAAAATATACTTACACGATAACTAAAGCAAATATTCGAAAAATAACTTCAGATGTGTCATCTTCCACTTCTCTACTTTCGAATCATCCTTTACCGAAATCTGTGAGATCAGTAATAACCGAGAACGATTGTCTGACTGGAACACGAAAACACAGTGTGCAAACAAAGAAAGAAAGAAAGACTAATTTTTTGGTAAAAAAACAAAAAGTCTTCTTGAGTTTCACTCAGTCGACTTAACAAGATCCCAATTGCCTCACGGGCAGATTGGAAACCCGACCGATGGAAACATATCTCAGAAACACTTTAGGCACTACTTAAATCCCTTAAATATGATTAGAACACTGCAATACTCTTGTAGTAAACATATGATGCATTCTATTGGTAATAGTGTTTCAGACTATAAATGCATCAACTATACAGAAGTACAGACTGATAAGCAGCATGTGACTACTTAGTGAATCACTCTACACTATTCATAGTGAATGTATATGAAGTATCACGCGACAATTAATTATCTCATAGAGAAGTTATTGAAAATATGCTCAACTTTTGAGATTCATTACTGAATAATTAAAAGATATATCGAAAAAATAGCTCCAGCTGTTTCATCTACCTCTCTTGCACTCTCGAATGATCTTTTTGCCAAATCAGTACGATTAGAGGTAGCTGTGAACGAGTAGCTGGTTCGAAGTAGGAAGCAGGGTCTAAAAGAAAGGCGTAAGAAAGAAGGATTTTCTGGGTAAAGAGCAATAAGTCTCCTTGAGTTTTACTCAGTCGACTTAAAGAAGGAGGAATTTTGCTGGGCAACGCTCGAAACTAAGCAGAATATTTCTCCTTCAGTTTCACTTTCTCGACTTAAACAAGAGTTGGTATAGGCGAAATGACAGACGCAGCTTCCTTTAACATTCGGTTCGAAATTCCTGCTGCACAGCCTTTGGGAGTATCCAGTTTTGAAAGTAGTTTTAAAAACCTCTGACTCAAAAATTATGGACGATGACATGACGATTTTTGAATGTGGTAAAATAGTAAATGCTTTGTTAATACTTGACGGTGTGCATACCTGAGAAAAATGATTATTCAAAAGTTCCGCTTTCTCCATAGGATCAATAATTAACTTATTATTACTCGCAGTATCAATCAGGGAAGGTATAGAAACTTGACTCTGTTTTTCTAGGTAGTGTTTTAAAAAATCCCACCACTTTTTAGTGGAACTGTTTAAATGTGTCGATTGTTTTATAAAAAAATTGCCTTTTTACACAGCTACAAGCTTTCTCAAATGCAACAGCAGCCTTTTTATTCGCTGTCAGTGCATGAATAGACCGAGTCAAGGATCTGCGATATTTTTGATATAAAAGATCACGCTTGCGCAGACGTAGCTTATTAAACCATGGCGCACCTTTAGACCCTATAGTTACATATTTATTTGGTATAACGTCAGAAGCAATTTTTAAAAAATTCTCGGGCCATGTAGCAGCTTACCAAGAAACATCCGGGCACTGGTTAGGCAATACTATTCAGTTAACGAAAGAAAAGCGCCGTCGAAAAAGATCCCAGCTCGTACTTTTTATAGGCATATATTTGTCTTTTATATTAGAAGTGCTTCTGAAGATTAGCACCGATCGAAAATTTTACCACACAACGGTCGCACTTCGAGGATAGTTTTTGTAAAACACTCACGTTTGTGAGAGATGTAAAATTGGAACAAAAAATTAGTAGATCTAGGCATGTATTAGAAGATGGTCTCGTTACCTCAGAAAGACCCTCATTAGCTGCGAACTGAAGCATAATCTGTCCGAAAGGTGTCGTAGGATGAGCTGGACACCACGAAAAACAGTGGCTATTAAAATCCCTATGAATATAATCGATTCATAACTGACATTATTTTTTCGAATTAGATCCAAAGAGTGATCGAATGAGCATTAAACTTAACTGTGTTATGCCATTTAGGCCTGTAACATAAACAAATCAGAAATTTTCTTCGGCATCTGTATTATTTCAATCGACTAAAAAGTATATATCCGTCTGAATACACGTGCGTGTCGATCATCGCTTAGTTCACAGTTAGCGATTACTATCATCCTTAGTGTATGGTGTCTATAAAAATGATAGAATTTATACACTACAAACTTATGCATAAAGACAGCCTGAATTAACAGTTATATATTGTAATAATGTGTTGGCATTAGCAATCGTATATGCATATTGTGCCGATGTATTGAATGGATTATCTGTTAGCTCATAGTATGTGCCAGGATATGTTCCCATCGCTGTATAACCCATTTGACATTGTGTGGCATATGAGCCAAAATACTGTCCAGTTGTTATGGGAAATGCGACGCCTTGACAACCTGGAGGGTTATTTTGAACAGGATCATTGCACAAAGTGATGTTGTATAATGTTGGAGTTGTATAACCAGATGATTGGAGATTAACGGATAATGGTCCACTTTGTTTAGATAGTTTTAAATTTACTATTGTAGAAGTATTGCTGGTGAAATCAAATGATCCAAATTGAATATTACTGTCATTACAACTATTAGTAGTATAAAATGCAACAGCTGTAACAATGCCACTGACATTTACCGGCACGGCATCCACAAAAGCATGGGGTGGAGTAAGAGAAATGTTAATGGCTGGTTGCTTGCCAAATATATAGTTCACTGAAAAGAGATGGATGGCGTGTTCATAGTTTTCGATTTTTTCTATGCTTTTAAGAGAATTAGTGTAATAAAATCAGGGCTTTCCGGTATTAGGTCCAAGGGTGACACGAACTACTTAGGCATGTTCATGTGCATGTAAATGGGGTTCTGCAGGATGAGGATGATCTTTGCAGAAAAATTGCAAAAAGAGAACTTTTGAATCCACAGCAGTAATTCGTTTTCTCGATGAGATTGATTTGAGATTTTGATAGAAGTAATCACACCAATGTTATATGTGGTGGTAATATAAAACAACGAGCTTAAACAAGATGCCAGTACAATGCAATCCTTTTTTCTGAAAAACATTCGAAAAAAGATGCTTGTTAGAAAAAGATGTACATACTTTGACATTGTCCAGGAAAGCCGCTACCTGTGCAGCCTGCGTTACATGTACAAACAACAGAATAGTCAGTTTTATTGTGAGTACACGCAGCGTAGGTATCGCATGGATTTGCTACTAGACATGTATCGTTGCAAAATCCTTGATAACCGGCAGTAGCGGGGAAGCATGCTGTATTTGTGTAGCCAGTTTTGCAAGTACAAACAACAGAATAGTCAGTTTGACCGTGAGTGCAATTAGCATTCTTATCGCATGGATTTGCTACTAGACATGTATCGTTGCAGAATCCTTGATAACCGGCAGTAATGGGTGAGGTTGCCGTATTTGTGTAGCCAGTTTTACATGTACAAACAACAGAATAGTCAGTTTGACTGTGAGTACAATTAGCGTTCGTGTCACATGGATTGGCAGCTTGACAGGTGTCTTGAAAAAGAGAGGAGCACATGATAGTAGGGGAAAGAAAGAAGCAGCTTTTATCGTTTTTACCTTTACAATTTCCATTTAAACCATTTCCCGTAAATCCTGCTGTACATGTACATGTAACACTATGGGTGGTTGATGAATAGGAGCAAGTTGCATGCGTATCACAAGGACCATTGTTTACTTGGCAAATGACTAGAGGAGTAAATAGTAAACTGTGTCAACAGAAGCAAATTGTTCGAATGTATAAAACTGAGCTCGAATAAAATCTCTGAAAACCTGCAAGGATGAGCCTGGAGTTAAGAGCACGTTTGGTCAACGTAGCTTAAGGAACCTCCAAAAAAAGTTCCCAGTTTTACAAAACTGCAAATATTATACGATAGATCCAATATCTCTAATGAAAATATGTCTTTGTCAGAACCCTTCTACATAAAGTAGCGAAAAAAATGATGAAATTCTGTAATGGTCCCTTTTTTCCGATTTCCTCTGCCAAGGAACTTGTTCAGAGAAAAGTCGATAGTGAGTATAATTGCCGATACTGTAAGCTTTGATTTGGTAACTAAGCGGTCATTTCAAAATTAATCTGAGGCTGAATAATTTACATTTTACTGGACTACCCAAAGAAAACAATTTCATTATTTGAAATTCCATAATGGCCTCTATTTTGACTATAACTTTTGATCCGCTTGATCAATCAAGCTCAAATTGCTTTTACTAGTAGCGCTCGCTAATATCCATCATCGATATAAATTTCATCGATAAGTAAAGCACTTCGTTGCGGAGATAACAGGTGCAGAAGGCGGAAAATGAAGTTCCGTAACATTTGACCATCCTGAGAAACATCGTTTATAACAGTGGAAATAGCAAAATCTTCATTCATGTTTTTAGTTGGAAGATCTATGCCCGTCTACGAAACTTCAATCATTCAGTCACGAGTACCCGAAAGTCGTAAAATCTCCTAGGATTCTGTTAGGATAGTAGACAAACGTAACCGAAATGCTAGGTTCATAGCAGGATCTTATTTGGATCTTAAACAGATCCTAATAGGAACCTAAATGTTATTATTGTAGACAGAATTCTACTATGCATTTCAAAGCGTAGTGCATTCTTTTACTTTTTAAATGAGACGACAAAAAAACATGATACGAATTTCGGGTTTCCACTATTTTGAGGTAAAATTTTTGGGTTATACACTGATATATGGGGTACTGAAAATCTCGGGTTTCACGTGGTGTATCTGAAGGCTGAAAAGAGAAGAGGTTCTCAAGTATAGAAACAAAGATGGACTTTGAATGTAATAAATGCAATCGGTAGCAGAGTTGGAACCGGTTTAATTTTTCCTAACCGAATCGAACCGGCCGGTTCAGGTTTTCGAAAAAACCCGACCGGCCCGTTTACCGGCCGGTTTAATGTGTAGTTGAAGCGGTAATAAACCGGCCGATTCAATTTTGGAGTTCAGCCGGTAAAAACCGGTCGATTCCATGGTAGATTAAAGTCCGGATTTTGTGAAAAACCGATATTTTGCAGAAAGGTAAGCTTGTGTATTTTCAAAATCTTCCTGTTCTGGTTACTTCAGTATTAACGTGAGGCACAAAGTTCAACCCAATACGAAAAGTGTTTTTTCAAGTCTTGAAGAGAAGTGAACGTAACTGGAAATGGTGAAAAGATTGAGACTGATTATGTCTTTTTATTGGCAAATGTTTATCGGAAAAAAATGCTACTGTATGTGGACGGCTATGTTTTTCATACAGAAGTAATAAACGTATGAAACTCAATACGAAAAAGATCATAGAACAATCATCTTTTAAAGAAGAAAAATTCGCGGACTAATTTCTGGTGATGTATGAAACGCAGTACGAAAAAGAATATAGATTAATCACGTTTTAATGAAGAAAAAAAATCTTTTTTTCGGCTAATTTTTCCGGATGGATGTTTTCGAAATGGAAAAGAAAATAATGGGAGAAAATCTTAACCTGTGTTCATCTATATCCGAAATTCGCCAGTGATAGGATAAATGTAAAATGAATTAATAGGTCATTTTTGGATCTATTGCCTTTTTTCAATCTCCCTTGGGCGATTCCAGTTGAAATCTCGAACTTTTGTTCAACAGTATTCATATTTCGCTTGTGATCGCAACCGGCAGCAACCGGTCGATTGAAGTGTGGTTAAACTGTTAAAAAACCGGTGATAAACGGCCGGTTGAAAAGCTCAGTCGGACCGGACCGGTAACTGGTCAACCGGCCGGTCCGATTCCAACTGTGATCGGTAGCTCTAAGTGTCCTCTACAAATCTACGCAAGTCCGAGATAGCCAGCTGCTGTGATAGCCTCAAAAACAGCTTCAAACATAGGCTGTCGGCTATGCTCTATAACGTGGCGATGTTAGTTTTCAGGAGAAAAAATAAGAACATGACAAAAACCCCATAGTAGATTAAAAAACCCATTTTGGCCATTTTGATAACACGGTCAAAATCGACCCACACTAATAGAAATATCTTTTTTTCCTGTTTGCGAGTAAAAGAGTCACACAAGCGAGAGCTGTCGACTATACTGTATACGCAGGATTATTCTGAGCGCCTACTGCTATCAAAGTACTGCGGTTAATGTAAACGGTTATGTTACACACATTCGGTAGAGATCTCAAGGGCTATTTAGCTGAGGCTTTTTGAAATCTCGGCTGCGAGAGCCTTCGAACAAAAAACAAGAAGATGCAAAACCAGTCTCTGCTCTGCCCTGACAATACCATATCTTGATCATTTTTGGAAATATTATTAGGCAGAACCTCAAATGATGTAAAGGACGCTCTTACAAGCTTCAAAAGAGATAGCAACTTTCTCCCTAAGAGTAAGCGGTGCAATTACTGCTATAGTACAGAGTCATTGGTCACTTTGTGGCAGCTGAAAGATGAGCGAAAAGCAAAAAGTAGATTACGATTAAAAATCTAACACTGGTAAAAGTATATTAACTGTTACTTACGTGTAGACGGGTCAGTGTATTCACCAATGGTAGAAACAACTGCTAAAAATAAAAGTTAAACTATAGACTTCGTTCTAAATATTAACTTCAGTTTATACCAGAGGTGGTTGTAACTGCTGTATACGTATTGGATACTAAGTGCAATTCGACGCTAGGTCCTGTTGTAATTGTGCAGCATTGATCTCGATAGGACAGTTGGATTGAAATGACGAGACCAGCGTTTATAAGTTGTTCAATTAATTGTTCATGGAGTGTTTGACAGAGCATACATCCATCCACGAAATATATTATGAGCGTTAACACCAATTTTTCTGAGTAGCGATTCGAATCAGCTTGCCGCCTATATAAGAAAATGACTCAACCAATAATGTTCATATACGAGTGCAGTCACTTACTTTCGACTAGTATATGCGACAATGTAACCATTAGTGATTACTACGCTTGCACCAATTTTTGAAAACAATAGTTTTAACTGATGAACAAAATGCAAAGAATAGATAGATATGCTGTGTCTCATCCGTGTAGATACTAACTTTGTCTTCGGCCTCTTTAATCATTGCTGTTGTCGGTGTTCCACTCTGAGATATTGATGAATTATCATAATAGAGCAACGTCACATTGGTCAGCGTATATGCTTGTGAATATAAGAGTGACAACGACAAACTACAATGTGATCTAAGAAACTAAACATTAATTACTTATTCTTGACGATGGACTATTGCCGGCTCTGTTTGCCAAATAGATGGGTATCAGCCCGATGATGACAGTGGCCACCATGACAAAGAAGAGTAACCAGAAACAGATCAGTATCCAGAAGTTTCTCGAAAATGTAGTTAGCATGGTATCAACGGTTTCTACTATACATAAACCAAACGCAGAGAAACTGAACATTCTTGCAAAAAAAGGTACATACGTATACTAGAAATATTTTCCGTGCTATATAATTAACGTCATTGTTTCTTTCATATCAAACTATAAAATGTGAAAAATCATGATTGCAAAGCATAAAAGGAGAGAGAACACAACATAAGATAAAGCCTGCATTTGTGAAGGTCACCACCAAACACTATCTCCGTGATTGTGCGTTACCCTTCAGTGACCTCAATTAAAACCAATTAATTAGTTGTTAATTAGTGATGTTGGAGATGATTCATACTAATTAAAAGCCTTTAATGACTAACACATTTTTATCGGCTGACTTCTACGACATTTGTCTTTTAAGCTTAAATGACATTTGTGCATTTTTCCTTCTCTAACTTTTAGATCTTGCTGGCGTTTAATTTTATAATTTCCTGTCGTTTACGCTTTTCTGCTTTTTAAGCATTTCTACCCATTATGACTTTTGTAATCTTATGCTTTCCTTGCTACGTCAGAAAGACCTAAAAGCCAAGATAGTACAAGCACAGTATTCGTCACCGCCAGAAAAGCCCTATTAGCGCAAAAGTCACAAAAGGGCTAAAAGTACAAAAGTCATTACAGCCAGAAATACATAATAGTCAGAAAAGCATAGGATTACAAAAGTTAGAAAAGCGTAAAAGGCAGAAAATTTTTGTCTGTATCTATATAATGGCTTGTCCGATTTAGTGCAGATATCGCAATATTTTTTTACCTTATTTTCTTTTATTTAATAAATAATTTATGGTAACAACTAATTAGTTGTTTAATTAAGGTTATCTCATGTTGTGTTCCCTCACCTTTTATGCTTTGCAATAATTAAATGTACTTTTGATAACCAAATTTATTCTCATATTTTTATTTTTCAACAGAGTGTAATAAATATAATAACATATTACCGAAATATTAAGCAAGGCAATATTTTTTCAGTTTTTATTTAAGGTGCCGGCAATGCGAAATTCAAGTAAAAATTTGTTTTGCCGTTTTTTTTACATCATTTGATAGAGTGAGAGTTGCTGATCACGAAAAACAACTTTTTACCTTACACAAATATCTTTTTCAGGTCGGAAAATACGAAAAAATCGAAGTATGTCGTATTTTT